GGCCCAGCCCACTGTGAGGCAGGTGACCGGCGGGCCATGGCAGGCCCCAGACTTTGTTTTTCGTTGCTGCTGGCGGCAGCGTTCGCAGGGCGGGCGACAGCCCTATGGCCCTGGCCCCATTACATCCAAACCTCCGGCCAACGCTACGTCTTGTACCCGAACAACTTCCAATTCCAGTACCATAGCAGTTCGGCCGCGCAGCCGGGCTGTTCTGTCCTAGATGAGGCCTTCCAGCGCTACCGTGAGCTGCTCTTCGGTTCTGGGTCTTGGCCCCGTCCTCACCTCTCAGGTGAGTCGGACCTGCCCCTTCTCGTTCCCAGGCCCGGGAAGGGCCTGCCTTGGGACAGCCTCTCCCCCCAAGCCTCCTGGGGCGCCTCCCATGGGTTTTGCCTCAGCCTCTGAGCACACGCCCTCCACTCTCTCCTGCCCTTTTTCTCCACCTGTCGTCTCAGCCTCCCCAGGGTGGAGTCCTCCTCCTACATTCACTGCTTCACTGAGCTGACTTCTGAGGCCACATTTATCTGGAATTCTTCCCTCGGGCTATATTAGATTTTCATCCACAAATGTCTACTGTAGGACTACAGTTCGGTCAGGATATCAAGTTATTGAAAATACTGTGCTAGTAGACGTCTAAGGTGATCCTTCTGACCATGTTCTAGTGACTCAGGGTCCTAGTGAGGCCGTGACCAGGGCTGGGTAGAGGAGACCAGAGAAGACACCCAAAATTCGTGAGACACGATGGGAAAACATATGCAAAATTACATAAAAGTGTGACATGTAGCATGTTTAGTAAATGTTTAAACTGTGAGAAGTCATAGAACAATCAAATCCACAAGGAAATGAGTTTCCAGCAGCCACTTAACATGAGGTGGTAGATGTAATTAGCCAGGGCTGAAAAGAGGGTATCCCCGGCAGGAAGCAAGGCTTGAGCAGAGCACAGAGAGTTGTGATTGAGCTTAAAGTTCTAGCCTGGCCTATGTGATGAGGATGGGGGCTGAAGAGTAGGGAGGGAGGAGGCGGGGGAAAGTGTGGGCTTGAAATGAAGAATGAAGAGTGCTCTGAATATTGGTTTCATTTAAGATGGCAGGGGCTAGTGATTTTCTTCTCAGCAACAATGTAGTTCTGAAAATTGTGTTTGAAGGTAATTATTCCACAGCAAATTTATGGGTAGAGTCAGCAACGTAGAGGAGTACAGTTCTACATTACGGGCTTAAAATTTGGAGTTTTCTTGATAACCTTCTGGAATTTAGTTCTCTGATTATGTCGTATAGGTGTTATTGGGGGAAGAAGCCATATTTATGGTTGGGTCATATAATAACATCATTTTGTATAATGTTTCAAGTGTGCTTAAATTACGTTCACAAATGTTCTCATTTGATATATAGACTTTAAAGCATTTGATTGAACAGATGGCGCTTAGAAAGTGACAAATGATTTAAGGAAAGAAACAGAATTTCAGCATGCCGGTAGTTCTTAACTGGTAAAATGTATTAGGCTAGGGAGGATAAAAGTCCCGCTATTAGGTGTGGTAGATCACGTATTTCTCTGAGTCCTTCCTGACAAGTAATAGAGTGCCTTACACAATTGGCATGCAGAATACATTTCTTTGGGTTATACAACAGTTAGGGCCTGCCTTATGCAAAAAATAGATTTGTCATCTAATTGGTATGTGCTAATCCCAGTGCTAGGTACTCTAGAGGTTATAAGAAAAGTGCAAGATGTAGGCCCAAGCTCGGCAGTTCTGTTGGGGAAATATGAAGCAGAAATACACAATGTGTTATAAAGTGCTCAAAAGATAAGTAGGGCATTTACTACTACTGTATAAGTGAGGATAATTCCTGTGCTTCTAAATTAAGCCTTAAAGTCCATTGCTATGGGACTATAATTTAATCAAGTAAATAGAAATGGGGAGATTATGTAACAATGGGGTGCCATAAATTCCCTAATGAAAGAGATATAGAGCCAGATAAGAAACTCAATGAGAAGTTTATTTCAATTTATCATTACCTTCCTGTGAATTAATTTGCATTATTAATTGGGGGTTCTTGTCTATTGAGAGACGGTGAAGACTTTGTTGGGTGAACATTACCAAAGGCTAGTCACTTCTCTGTTGTTCTTCCCGTGGAGTCTTCCCTTTGGAGCATAGTTTACTGTGGGGGTTTTCTTCGAGCTATAGTTTCAGTTCTGTAGAAACAAGGATGAAGCAACGGAGGGGAAAGCAATGTCAACAAGGCCCAAACTATAGTCTTTTTCTCTATGGGTCCAGTTTTGGTAAAGAAAGCAGCATAGGTAAGTTAAATCCTAACTAACAGATTTCCGTCCCTTTACTTGTATGTAATGTCTAGGCCAGTGTTTTCCTTAATGCAGTAAAACTTCTGGTTTTGACATAAACTTGGAACTCAGTGGAATTTATACCTCCCTTTTCTGAAGAACAGGTCTGGTATTGAGGTTTGATTTTATTCTGAATTCAAGGGTTAACCTTAGTCCCACCAGTTGCTAAATGGTCTGTGGAGGTGTTTAGTATTTGTCACCTGTCTTTCTCATTGAGAGGTGTTTTTACCAATTGGAGGGTGTGTGTTGCATGTTGTTGAACCTGTTAAATGGAATTATTTTAGGATCTAGATACTTGAATGAATCTAGTTCTTTGATTATTAAGCCACATCCTGTTTGCAAATAAAGATCTGATCATTTGGAATGGTACCCATCTAATGTTGCTCCATATACTTATTTGGGTGCTTGATGGAGCTGATAAAGCCCAAATTTTCCAGGTAAAGTGGCTAAATCTAATTATGCCAGTTGACTGCATTCTTCTGTGCTTTTCCTGAAACAGGTTGATTGAAGCCTTAGTACTTCATGGGTATTATAAGGTTCCCATCCTGGTCTAATGTTCACATGCACATCCCTGAGAGATGCTCAGGATGCCGTTGTCCCTGAACAGAATAATCCCTGTCCCCTTCTCCAGCCCTTTTATTCTAGAATGAAAGTAAGATTATTATTATTTTTTTTTTTAAAAAGATGACTGGTAAGGGGATCTTAACACTTGACTTGGTGTTGTCAGCACCACGCTCTCCCAAGTGAGCTAACTGGCCATTCCTATATAGGGATCCAAATCCATGGCCTTGGTATTATCAGCACCACACTCTCCCAAGTGAACCACGGACTGGCTCTTCAAAGTAAGATTATTTTACGAGTATCTGGATCCTCCTGCAGCCATTATCAGTATTTGTTTTGCTTATCCTCAGATATTAAGCAAATGACTAAGTTAGTAAGTGGCGTTATAATCTGAATCTTCTAAAATACCTCCCTCCTTTGGTCATTCCTTCTATAAGTATGCATGGAACATAGCAAATATTTAATAATTGTGAACATATTAACATTAAAGAGCTTCTCTGTGAAAAAGTTGGTAAGAAGGCTTCATGGTTTTTGTTTATTTCTAAGATCATCAAGGAGTGATTTGCAGATTTTCATTTAGGATTCCCTTTCCTTTCAAGTTTCAAATTTGGAGTGTAGGCATGTGATTCCAGAGAAAGAAGGATCACACCATGATCCTAACTCTTAATCCCAACTCATGCTGCTCTTAACTCATCACAAAATTGAAGATGCATTGAGATTGCATCCAGGGAATGTAGGAGGGAAACATAAGATTAGGTAGCTGGGCTGGGGACAAAGAGTAATGCTTGATTAGTTCTCTGCACTCTAATTGGGCCAGCGGCTGAGTACATTTTAATCTTTCCCAAGGCAAGGATAAGGCATATACCTGCAGAAGATTTGGTTGCCAGTAAGTTTATTGTTTTAAGAGCAAAGATGAAGAAAACAACGTGAAAAGAGGGTTTTGAGATAGAAATATTTTTCTTGCGAAGGAGTAGGGATACATAAAGAGAAATACAGTGATGAATATGTTGTCTTTGGAAAGGAGATAGGTAGCAGAAGCATAGTTTTTCGCCAGGGAGCAAAATAATTGTCATATTTCATTTTGAATTCAAGGGCCTAGATTTGTATGGCCTGTAGTCCTCAACCAGCTTCTCTTCTCACAGCCTTTTTTTTTTTTTTCTTTTTTACCTAAATCATAATGCTTTACCAATAGCCATGGATAGTACTGAGCCCAAGAAGGTCAGCTTGATCAAGGTGTGTGTGAGGGTAGTCTGGGCCTGGTTTATGAAAAACCTGAGTCTTTTTCTCTTGAGTTGTAGTTGTTCCCCTTGCTTTGGACATTCTGCTTGAAGACTGTATACATTAGAGGACTCAGGGTCTGCAGCAAGGTTTATTCCAGATCAGCCAGAGGATGTTTTTAATGACACATTTAACTATGTTCCCTCAAGCAAATTGCCTAACTTCCAAGCTGTTGCTGCTACTTCTTTTTAAAAATCTGCCTACATTCCATGCATTTCTGAAGATAACAAGGAAATAGTTATGAATGTCTTTGCAGTCTTCGAAGGAGGGTACAACAGAGGGAAGAACTTGGTGATTTAAAAAATAAAAATAAAAAAAATAAAAATTTAAACAGTTTGAGTCTGAGATGTCCTTCCTTCCATTTCCTTTTACTGTACTCCCTCAGCTCCAAACAGAAGAGCAAAATAGGGCATTGGAGAGTTTTTGTGAGTTGATAACTTGTTGTTGGTTTTTTGTTGTTGTTTGCTGTTTTTAACAGCAAGTGGGTACTTTTTTAGCTACACAGTCTCATACTAGGGCTTGTTGTCTGTTTCTTAGCCTGTTAAAGGCATAAGTCTCAATCCCTTTATTATGGATTATGCAGAAGGAAAGGAGGATCACTGTCTAACCAATACTTCTTTTAGAAATGAAAGAGGTCACTCATGTTTCTGCATTGACTAAATTTCCTCTGCTGGCCCTGGAAATAAGTGGTAAAATAGATCCAATTTGCATGTCAGCACCAGGCTCTCCCAAGTGATCCACTGGCTGGCCCTTTTTTTCTGATAATTGAAGTGCAGGGTGCTTTGGGCATGCAGAAGAGGAACACCTGACCAGGTGTGAGGGGCAGGAGGGAGGGGGGATGATACTTATTGAAAAGACTTTCATAGAGAGCCATTTAATCAGGTCCGAAGGTAGGAGTAGGTGGGGATGGAAGTAGTATTACACATAGAAAGAACTGCATGTGGGAAAGGCTTTAAAGCAAGAAGCTTTCATGCCACATTCAAGAAAATCAAGGTTAGTATGACTAAAGTACACAACTCTAGGGTGGATCAGCAAGTTCTGAAGCTAGAGGTCATGAAATGGCCTAGTAAGCCCTGGTAAGGAACGTGAACTTTTTTTTTTTTTTAAAGATTGACCGGT